CTTGAGAAAATTATTACTACTTACTTATCGCTCTCTGCTCGTCAATATATATCCCAACAACAACATTGATTTTTCAAGGGCAGAAGTGTTGATAAGAATTTGATAACTTTCACGGAATATTTACGAAGAGCCATGGATGACAATCTACAAGTGGATGTCGGATTGAATCGTATATAAAAAATAGAAGTCAAGCTGTATGTATTAAGGGATTCACCTCAAAATTTCTACCTGTATCAAACATTTTCATTATTAAGAAGCAGATTTAAAAAATGCTGCTTTACTGCTATAAGAAGTTTATTGAACTTTCCGAAAATAAAATAAAAACACATCCTAAGTTTTTATGGTCTTTTATAAAATCGAAAAATACCACTAGCGATTTTCCTGAAAAGATGTTGTACAAAGGTAAAGTTATTTCTGGTGGTATAGATATTTGTAATGCCTTCAATGAATATTTCCACTCCGTATTTATAACCGTCAGCAATGTTAGTCACCAAGATTACCTGAGTAATCAAAGTTCACACACAACTTTAGATATAAATTTAACTGATATAAGCTTTGACTTAGTTCTTAAAGAATTACATAAAAATAATATCAATAAAGGCGCGGGTTCAGATTTTATTCATCCTTTTCTTATTTCGAAATGTGCAAATGAACTTGCAGTGCCGGTGACATTAATTTTCCGCACATCTGTCAAAAGTGGAGTGCTCCCCAACATATGGAAATACTCTTTGATAACACCTATTCCAAAAAATAATAACAAAAACATAGCAACCGAGTATAGACCTATCTCGAAATTATGTGTATTGGGGAAGGTCCTTGAGAAAATTATTACTACTTACTTATCACTCTCTGCTCGTCAATATATATCCCAACAACAAGATTGATTTTTCAAGGGCAGAAGTGTTGATAAGAATATGATAACTTTCACGGAATATTTACGAAGAGCCATGGATGACAATCTACAAGTGGATGTCGGATTGAATCGTATATAAAAAATAGAAGTCAAGCTGTATGTAATGATTTCTTATATTTACGCGAACATTGCACATGATTAAAACTACTTTTACGGATTTTATCGCGTTTATTTTTTACTTTTTTATTTTTAATTCCCGACGTTTCGGGCGCTTTCCAGCACCCATGGTCACGGGGGACTGAGATGACTGACGTCCCGATGTCATTGTTTAACCCGGAGTACCTTCAGCTTTTTTAATTATTGTTTATGGTCCGATCTATGCAAAATGAACTGACTATGTCCTGAGGTCTTGCAGTGGTATGCTTGGGTTTAGTTTTAATTTTATTGATTATAGGATCCCAAGCAGGTGGTAGTACCCAGCCTCCTTCTCTATTGAAATTAGGATGTTTTTTAATTTCAATAGCCTCACGTATCATCCTTGGTAGGAATCGGTGTTCTTTCGCGAGGATTTGTGGTCTATCATATCTGATGTAATGGTTGGGGCCGTCTAGGATATGATCACAAACTGCAGACTTCCCGGAACGTTGATGCTTCACACAACGTTCCGGGAAGTCTGCAGTTTGTGATTAAAACTACTTTTACGGATTTTATCGCGTTTATTTTTTACTTTTTATTTTTAATTCCCGACGTTTCGGGTGCTTTCCAGCACCCATGGTCACGGGGGACTGAGATGACTGACGTCCCGATGTCATTGTTAAACCCGGAGTACCTGCCCGGCCCGGAACGTTGATGCTTCACACAACGTTCCGGGAAGTCTGCAGTTTGTGATTAAAACTACTTTTACGGATTTTATCGCCTTTATTTTTTACTTTTTATTTTTAATTCCCGACGTTTCGGGCACTTTCCAGCCACCCATGGTCACGGGGGACTGAGATGACTGACGTCCCGATGTCATTGTTAAACCCGGAGTACCTGCAGGAAGTCTGCAGTTTGTGATCATATCCTAGACGGCCCCAACCATTACATCAGATTTGATAGACCACAAATACTCGCGAAAGAACACCGATTCCTACCAAGGATGATACGTGAGGCTATTGAAATTAAAAAACATCCTAATTTCAATAGAGAAGGAGGCTGGGTACTACCACCTGCTTGGGATCCTATAATCAATAAAATTAAAACTAAACCCAAGCATACCACTGCAAGACCTCAGGACATAGTCAGTTCATTTTGCATAGATCGGACCATAAACAATAATTAAAAAAGCTGAAGGTACTCCGGGTTTAACAATGACATCGGGACGTCAGTCATCTCAGTCCCCCGTGACCATGGGTGCTGGAAAGCGCCCGAAACGTCGGGAATTAAAAATAAAAAGTAAAAAATAAACGCGATAAAATCCGTAAAAGTAGTTTTAATCATCAAGCTGTATGTATTAAGGGATTCACCTCAAAATTTCTACCTGTACCTTCAGGTGTTCCTCAAGGGTCTCATCCTGGCCCGCTCCTGTTTTCCTTATATATTAACGATATTGGACTAACATTAAATGAGAGTCAACATCTTCTTTACGCTGATGATGCCAAAATATATAAAATTGTTAATTCAAGAGAGGACTGTCTCAAACTGCAACAAGATTTGCTTGCTTTAGAAAAATATTGCGTTACTAATCAATTATATCTTAATACTGACAAATGTCATGTGCTATCTTTTTCACGTAAAGTCAACCAAATAAATTTTGAATATTGTCTGAATGGCATCATTCTAAAAAGGGTTACTACAACAAGAGATCTTGGCCTAATCGTAGACTCAAAATTATCTTTTAACTCTCATATAGACCATATTATAAGTAAAGCTTTTCGAAGTTTGAGTTTTATTTTAAGAATAACAAAACCATTTAATAAGCTCTCAAACTGTTATACTTTTCTTTTGTACGTTCAATCCTTGATTTTTGCAGCACGGTATGGAGCCCCTCTTATCAAATACATATTGAGAGGATAGAAAAAGTACAAAAAAAGTTTCTGAAATCCCTTAACTATCGTTACGGTATTGAGAACGAATCATATAGGTAATGAAGCTTTGTGCAGGCACAAAATGCTAAGTCTTTTTAACAGACGCAAAATGTTTGACATTGTTCTTCTATACAAAATTCTAAATTCATTAATAGATTCACCGACTCTTTTGTCTATGTTTTCACTTCCAGCAAGCGTTCGTCTTCCAGTATTCATTCCTCCAAATTTTCATAAAAACTATACATGTAATTCTTATATATGTCGTTCCACCAACATGTATAACAAACATTTTTCAGAAATAGATCTTTTTAGCAATAGTCCTAATCTTCTTAAAACAAAGTTAAACAAGTTTTTGCAGTTAAATTTGTTGCCCGACTATGTTGTCTCACAATGTAAGTAATATCGTTTGTTAATCCTATACATTTAAACGATCAATTCTTATATATATATATATATATATATATATATATATATATATATATATATATATATATATATATATATATAATCGGAATCTTGGAAACGGCTCCAACGATTTTCATAAAATTTTGTGTGCAGGGAGTTTCGGGGGCACCAAATCGATCTAGCTAGTATTTATTTTTAGAAAATATCTTTTTGTCGGTGTTTTTAGGCAATGAAAAACTGCTACAATATCGTTAAAATAAGAAGGTAAATTTTGACAGTTTATTAACGATTACAAATAGCTTAACTGTTATATTGGGCAGTCACAAAATTGTAATACCATGGTTCGAGCCCAGAACGACCGACCGACTTTTTTAATTTTTTTTTCAAGTTTCTTTCTTTTTGAGAAAATCTATTTTTTCCATCCCTTTTTTTAGTATTTTTTAAAAACACGAAAATTTAAATTAAACTAATTGCACTCATGATTTTTTATTCAAATAACCAGTTCAGTTTTTTCTATTATGTCGCTAAGATCAAAAAATATTATTCGTATTTCATCAGTATGTAATTTGTATCTAAAAATAATTTCCAAAACACACGAATTAAAAAAAACCGAGCGAAAAATACCGAGCAAAGCTCTGTCAACCGGGTACTGTATATTTATTGGCACTACCTGGTCTTTTTTTTGTAAAGTGTAAATGTAAAGTGTAAATTATATATTAAGAAATATGACTGTTTGTTGCCAAAATAAATGAAAAAAAGCTGCCTTGGCCTGTCACCCAGGTAATTTAACCTGACCTATCCCAAACTTAAATTTTATCATAAACTTAAACAAGTTCAGGTATTTGATTGAAAAAATGAATAGGATATTGTCAGGCTAATGATAAGATTAAGCAATAACTTTGTCTTCTTCCGGTTCTTGATCTAAAGCTTAGGTTTTACCATAAACCTGCGACACATATATTGTAAGTTATAAATGAGGAAAATCGCTCTGGATTTCTTGCTGGTTACTTCCAAGACAGAGGTTTTTCCAAACCTGCGGAAAAAGCTAAAATCACTTTCAATAAATATTATTGTAACCTACGTATATTGATAAAAAAAACATTCAAAACTATTATGTTCAATGTATTGCCGCTGCGTTCGTCAACTCTCCTTTGCATAGTTGATTCAAAACGTTGATCGAGAATACGAAGAAGAATAGTGTTGTACGAGGCGACTATGTGATATAGCAAAAAAGATTTCAATACATAGCGATAATACATCTCGTTGACGCAATGCGTAAAATACCCAGATAGCGTAGAATACTTCAACAAGAAGCAGTATCAAAGGTGCGAAACGTCTTATACTGCTAGCCGTGGAATAAGATCTCCCGTCGGCAAAGTGTTCTGCTTGGGGAGTGGTTAATGCTCCGCATGGTAGCACAAAGCTATTCTGTAAATATCGCAGTACTTTGGATCTTCGATAGAGTGATTGAAGCCTCTGAGCATTTCGTTTGTGAGAAATACGTCACAAAATGTGACGTAAGGAAAATCCTTCGGCGGGAATGGCCTACCTCTAGCGGTAGACTTTTTCGAGCTAAGGAATAACAAGAATAAGCAAATAATATCTACTGCGTGATTAATATTATGTCCAATTTAATATTAACATGATATCCAGCGCGTGCCATTTGAATGTATATCTTAGGTGCGACTTTCGAGCTTTTCTTTAAGTTTCATTAGGTATTGCAGCCGGTTCTTCAAGTCGTCAGCTGGGTACTGCACTATATCCGATTTAAACACCCCCGGACCTATTTCCACATGAGGCCGAAGATTTCGACGGTTATAAAGGAGTTTCATAGGGACCTCGTAGTAATTGTTATCGTGTTCAGATGTCTGAAAAATATAGGTGAAGTACAATATTGTAAAAAAATAACTCTAAATTATTATACCCGCCACTCGCGCCACTGCTAAATGTTTGACTTTGCTGTTTTTTGGCTACCAGTTCGATTTCCACACGAAAAAATGTTTAAATTATTTACAAATAATACTCGTTCCGGGTCACAGTCTACCTGATGGTAAGCGGATGATGTGACAATTAGGCATCTATATCTATCTTCAATTAAGATCAATATGCATATACGTTACCCTTGAGGATTAAAATGGAAAGCCTCATTTCTAGTAATAAGTTTCTGGTCCTCTACAATCGCCATACGAAACACAGCAGTATTAAACTGCTATTTTTTGCTTGTATTCTGTGGATGCGTGTTAAAGCCGTCCTAAAGGTGCTACAACCATAATATAGCTGGAGCATAGCTCTGCCACGTATAAATGACTGACAGATTGACTAAATGAGCTGTATATTTTTTTTTCTAATGTTACTATTTCAATAGTGTGTATAGCGTGTGTGTGTTTATTTGATATTTTGTATATTAGATATTTATATTTCTTTATATATGATTGTGCAGTTCAAAGTCAAATATAGCTTGCTTCATATTCAAATTTAAAAAATGAATAACTGTCGAATTAGGCATCTAGATGCTTACTAGTATATTGATAATACCTTTATGTTTCTATTGCTATCTTCTTGTCCATTTAAAATAACAAGATACAAATTGTTGTCCCTCTCAGACATATCATCAACTGCAACTTCTATCCTTGCAGAATGAAATGGATGCGTCACAATGCTTGAAATACTTGCAGTGCATGTCAAAATAAGTAGGAAGCCTAAAATAAGGTAAGGTGAAATAGGTTAATTGACAATATTATATTCAATATGATAAATAACGTCTGATCACAGCGGCTAGTCTTTGCTTCCTGTGTTATATGGCACGAGTGAGTACCCAAACACATGTGCACTCTCTATTTATTTAATCTCATGGATGGGGGTAGTAGAGATAAGACGTAGGTACCACTGTTTAAGTGCTTTCTGAAACACATAGATAAAACGCCGCCAACTTCGAGACTCCGGGCTACTTCTAAGAATTTCGTGACGTAAAAACTCAATAATAGATTTCAATTTCTTTACATGAGATGACCAGGTCAGCATCGGTAAGCTGTCTTTATTGTGATTGACTTAACTACGTAGCACACCTGCCCATTGTGCCCATGTGGTGATTATCATGAATCCTGCACACATCGGAAGAAACTTATTTCCAGTGGACTACACTCAGCGTCACAAAAATCGCACCTCTCTGAGTTTGCGCGAAAAATGGCTGTAATGGCTAGAAACGAATTATATTTATATAAATATTGGTATTTTGAAATGGGTATTTAAATAGCTTTACATTATTAATAAAAAAAATCATGAAATCATTAAAACATTTATCATCATAGAGCATCAAAATAAACACTGTCAAATGGTCGTTAGTAAGGACGCTAGTTACACCACCTAAAAAGGGTATAAAAGGGTCGATCTGGATGAAATATGGGTCAGTCGTAATTTAGACTTTGCAGTGAACACATGTAAACAAGTAACCCTAGTAAGAACAAGTAAAGGTGGACACCACCTCTGAAGAAGCCGCTCAGTGATTGCCCTATTGCAGTCGGGGATGCGGCAGTGTGACGTTGCTCGACAGTTGAACCTGTCCCGTTTTTCAGTTCGACGGGTGTTCCAACGTTTTCAGCAGACTGGTGGTTATGTTATAAAACCGGGATCTGGAAGAAAACGGTGCACATCAGAAAGAGATGAATCCTGGAGGAACATGTGGTCCCGTATGCTGGTTATGTCGGTGATGGATTCATGTTAATGCATGATAATGCTCGTTGCCACACCGCGGCTATTGTACGGGATTATTTACAGGAGGTCGATATCCCTGTTATGCTTTGGCCAGCACGAAGTCAAGACCTTAACCCAATAGAACATCTCTGGGATGATCCTAAACGGCGCGTGCGAGCTCGAGATCCAGCTCCAACCACTCTTCAAGAGCTCCAAGATGCGGTACTTAAAGAGTGGGAACAAATACCCCAAGAGGCTGTTGCGACCCTTGTAAGGTCCATGAAAGATCGCATGGAAGCCGTTATCAAGGCAAGGGGGGGGTAACACTAGGTTTTAAGAACTTTTTTTTGTATTTATTAAGTTTTTTTTTAATTATTAATTTGCAAATTTGTACATACCCTGTCTTTTTCTTTAATTTCTCTTTCGTCTCGTTATAAAAGTAAAATTCAATTAAAATTCCTGAAAGCTAATGAAATTACCTTTTGAATGATACCTTCAAACTACAATATTGCCATTGGCCTGTTGTGTTAAAATAGTATTAAAATTATTTTTTTCGGATGTGCGATTTTCTTTGACGACGAGTGTATTACAGTCTATTCAAAATATTTTCTATAGATTGTAAGTGACAAACGAGCACACAGCCCACCTGATGTTAGGTGGATACTATAGTCCATAGAAATCTACATCTATCTTCGAATAAGAATCAAAATCATAGATTCATAGATAGGTTGTGAACTGACTGTGATTGAGGAATAAGATGGAATGCCTCTTTCCAGCATACGGGCCTCCGATTTTCTTCACTCGCCCTTACAAAACAGCAGCATTACGCTTTTATTTTACGCTAGTATTCCGTGAGAGTGTGGTCCTTCTCCTATCGAGCCGACCCATACGTGCTACAACCACAATGAAACTGCAGCGTAGCTCTACCACATGGCAGATCTATGCATTAAACATTAAAAAATGCCGTGCGGCGCCGGTGTAAGAGAAACCATCACCACAATTTCTCCTATAGGTATCGTAGGATGTGATTATGGGATACGCTAAAAATATTAAATGATCGGAATTAAAAATAAGTAGAATTAAACGCGCTTAAATCCGTAAAAGTAGTTTTTATCAATGACTAGTGTTCGCGTAAATATAAGAAATCATTAAAATCAAATGGCATCCGTTAGATGAAAATCATTCTTACGCCAGCCATAAAATACTTAGACCAGCGACAGTAAGCAGCTTCAAAGATGAGAAAGGTCTGGTAACAAAGCGTGTTGAATACAGCAATTCGTCACTACAATTGGAGAGACGCACAATTATTTATAGGAACGAAGTTCCTTATCGCACGTTGCAAAAGGGGGCTAGACGGAAAAAATTAAGACCAAAATTTCTCTGTCTTCTCTCTCTCTCTCTCTCTCTCTCTCTCTCAAGAAAGAAGCCAGTAGTTTGTTTGTTTTTTGTTGTTAGTTTTTTATATTTTGAATCTGACAGTGTTTTGCAGTAATGCTGATGGAGTTAGGTAAAAAAGATTTTTTGCTTATTGATTTTTAGGTTTTTGTGTGTTTAGCAAGTGTACGCGTCATAACTTTAATAAATTTAAAAGCAAATTATATTTTAATATTACAATATCAATGCGTATGTATTTAGCAAGCCGTGCGTGTTCTAACCTATACGCTGTTGTGTTTACGAAGTCGTGAGAGTATATAAATAGGAACTTCGTTCCATCCGGGTGTCCCACTGTCCCTTGACAACTCCTAAATTTTTTTTATTTTATTTAAGGACTACCAGAGGTAATTAATTACAATAATGCATGTTCACAAATATAATAAACATTACATCGCTGCAAATAAGACTACATATTCCGTTTGTAAAGCTTAATGCTCTTATAATAATTATAGGTTTTTTAATTTATTTAAGGACTACCATAGGTAATTTTAACCAGAGGTGAAAACTGGCAGCGATCACCGAATGGTTAGAGGCACACTGAACCTAAACATTAAATTGGAGAGGTCTCGTCTAATGAAGTCAACGCTCCGTCCCCCTCTTGCTCTAATCCAGAATCCCGAAAACTTTCAGCTCGAGTTACACAACCGCTTTCAGTGCCTACAAGATTGCAATGCAGTGGACGATATGAATGACAAGCTCGTGGAAACTGTCCATGCGGTCGGAGCTAAGTTCTGCAAGACCCGCCGCAGAAGAACACAAAAACTCTCCGATCACACTCTTAATCTCAAGGCTGTTAGACGGGAGATGAGGCTGCAATCGTCAACAGATTTGACAGCATACAGGCAACTGAACAGACAGATCTCCAAATGCATGCGGCGAGACTTACGCAACTTTAATACTGCTCGTATTAAAGAAGCGATCGAGCGGAACCAGGGCTCCAAAGTCTTTGCCAGAGATCTGTCTGCCCGTAAGAGCCAACTGTCAAAGCTGAAGACTGAGTGTGGCAGCATCGTTTCCGGAACACCTGAGATTTTTAGTGAGATTGAGAGGTTCTATGGGCAGCTGTACACATCATCGTTGGAGCCACACGCAAGTGTGAGTAACGATCCAAGAGCAAGTCTTATCCGACACTATTCCGATGATATCCCGAACGTCAGTCTAAGCGAGATTAGAATGGCTCTCCAGCACCTTAAAAACGGCAGGGCCCCAGGCGAGGATGGAATTACAGCGGAGCTTCTGAAAGCGGGTGGAACACCGGTACTTGAAGTCCTTCAGAAGCTCTTCAATTCCGTCCTTTATGGTGGCACTACTCCCGAGGCGTGGAGCAGAAGTGCGGTGGTCTTGTTCTTTAAGAAAGGCGACAACGCTCTCTTGAAGAATTACAGACCGATTTCCCTTCTGAGCCGCGTCTACGTGCTGTTTTCGAGAGTCATTACGAATCGTCTCGCAAGCAGACTCGACGACTTCCAGCCTCCCGAACAAGCCGGTTTCCGAAAAGGCTTCAGTACCATAGACCACATACATACCCTGCGGCAGATTGTACAGAAGACTGAAGAGTACAATTTGCCACTTTGCCTGGCGTATGTGGACTATGAGAAAGCCTTTGATTCCGTCGAAATTTGGGCGGTGCTGCAGTCCCTTTAGCGGTGCCAAGTTGACTGTCGGTATATCGAAGTGCTGAAGTGTTTGTAAAATGGCTATCCGAGTACAGAACCAGAGCTCGAAACCTATCCAACTGCAGAGAGGTGTAAGACGTTATATCCCCGAAAAACTTCACCGCTGCTTTGGAAGACGTTTTCAAGCTACTGGACTGGAAAGGATACGGTATTAACATCAATGGCGAGTACATCACTCACCTTCGATTTGCCGACGATATAGTCCTTATGGCAGAATCGCTGGAGGACTTAAGCACTATGCTCAATGACCTCAATAGTGCCTCCCAACGGATAGGTCTTAAGATGAACATGGACAAAACAAAGATCGTGTTTAATGTCCATGTCACACCTATGCCGGTAGTTGTTGGGAGCACTATGCTCGAAGTTGTTGACGAGTACGTTTACCTGGGACAAATAGTCCGACTAGGTAAGTCCAACTTCGACCGAGAGATCAATCGACGGATTCAACTCGGCTGGGCAGCGTTCGGGAAATTACGACACATCTTCTCGTCAGGTATACCTCAATCTCTGAAAACTAAAGTGTACAACCAGTGCGTGTTGCCAGTGATGACTTACGGATCAGAGACGTGGTCCTTCACTGCTGGCCGTATGAGGACGCTCAAGGTCGCTCAGCGAGCTATGGAGAGGGCTATGCTCGGAGTTTCTCTGCGCGATAGACTCAGAAATGAGGATATCCGCAGTAAAACCAGAGTGGCCGACATAGCCCAACGGATTAGTAAGCAATGCAAGTGGCAATGGGCCGGCCATGTAGCTCGAAGAACCGATAACCGATGGGGAAGAATGGTTCTTGAGTGGCAGCCTCGTACCGGTAGGCGTAGTGTAGGGCGACCCCCCACTAGATGGAGTGACGACCTGGTAAGATATGCAGGAAGTCGATGGATGCAGGTGGCTCAGGACCGTGCTTTGTGGCATTACTTGGGGGAGGCCTATGTTCAGCAGTGGACTTGTGAAGGGCTGTAATGATGATGATGATGATGATGAGGTAATTAATTACAATAATGCATGTTCACAAATATAATAAACATTACATCGCTGCAAATAAGACTACATATTCCGTTTGTAAAGCTTAATGCTCTTATAATAATTATAGGTGAAGACTATATGCAATAAAAATAAGATAAGAAGAAACAGGAGAGAGTTCAAAAGGTCCGAAAAATTTAAGTTATGTAAATTTCAATAACAATGACTTTTTAAAGCTGCGAATGCCATCCACGAATCTAAGCGAAGGATTAACTCCATTGTTTTTGCCATGTTTTTGTACTCTCTCACATAACGGTTTAAAGGGGCATTTTAACTCAGATTAGATTTACTAGATTGAGCCACGAGAAAGTTAAATTTCGATTGCCCAGGTAGTTTTAGTAGCGCTGAGAAAGTAAGTAGGTGTAAAAGATCCGAAACATCGTGAATAACATTCCATTCACTAACTTGTACAGGAACAATAAGTCGTGCAAGCGTGTTCAATCTGATAGAGAACAAAATTTTTAAATTACACAACCTCGCTTTATAATTTAAAAGTACCTAGATTACAGTTATATGTAAGATGCCACAACACTCTTTTTTTGGAATTTTTTAATCCCTTTTTATACACGTCATAATACGGTAATATACATAATACTGTATAATAGAATTTTAGTTTTGGGAGACTTAAAATTCCTACAATTCCTCAAAACAAACCCTAGGTTCTTGAATCCCTTAGAACAGATCACATCAATGTGAACATTAAATCTCAGATTCTTATCCAGCCATACTCCAAGATCCTTCATTGTATCGATGTCTCTTAAAATATCGTTATTAATTTTATATTGGAAATAAGAACCAGTCTTTTTTTTTGAAAATTGCATACAAAGTCATTTGGAAGCATTAAGGTCCATTTTATTAGTCTCGCATCATTTAAATAGGTTGCAGAGATCATTCCGTAATAAGATGGCATCTGAAGGAGAGTCAACAGTTCTGAATAATTTTAAGTCGTCAGCAAATAAAAGATAATCAGTATATTAAAAGCATTTGCCGATATCGTTGATAAAGGTATTAAACAGCAAGAATGCTAAATGCGACCCTTGAGGAACACCGAAGGTAATTGTAAAGGGATTGGAAGAATAACCGTTAACTACAACTTTAGAAGTTCTATTTTCTAGATACGAGTGACACCAACTCAGTATGGGTTCGCCGATTCCGAGTAAGTGGAGCTTGCGGAGAAGTATATTATGATTAACGTGGTCGAAAGCCTTGCTGAAGTTGGTATAGATTGCATTAATAAAAGAAGTTAGGTTTGTAGCAGTGGATCTTTTCCTCATGAAGCCATATTGATCTGGATTTAGTAACTGCTCGAATACCTTTACAATTACAGGCAGAATTGGTAAATAGGTTTGTAATTTTGGATAATATCTTTATTACCATTTCTTAATGGTGAAACAATTAGTGCTACTTTCTATTCGGATGGAAATGTGCCGGTAGCTAGAGATTTGTTATACATAAAAAAACAACAAAATGAAAATGAAATGTTTTATAGTGTTTAAATAACGAATTTCTAAAATTTACCTTTACACATTTCGGAACCTTAATTTAAATATGATGAAACAATATAAGCTTCTTATACACTTCTTATAAACAACAAAACTTTATTAGTAACATAATGATACACAGATTAAAAATGAATTTCAATTAATTCTGATTATGTATGGAGTCAACAAAGCATCGTTCTCGCGAAATTACTTTTTCGATTTCAATTTGTCTTTATCAAAGAGCGCCGATCGTGCACAGACCGTGAAATTATGAAGATGGAAAATGTTTCAATCTAAATAGGCATACATGAAAAATATGTGATATATTAAGGGAAACAAATAGCATTTTTGAATAGAATTAGAGTGACAAGCCTTCCTGATTTTAAATGGATGCAAAAGCGCATAGACATCTACAACTACCGTCGATTAAGAATGAAAATGCAAATGCGTTGTCACCCCTCAGGACGAAGATTAAATGCTTCATATCAAATAAAAAGTTTTTCCGATTCTCTATACTCACCATATGAAACATAGCGGCATTAAGCTGCTATTTTTCACTGGTACTCTGTGAGAGTTTGGTCCTATCCCGGTCGAGCCGACCTATTGGTGCTACAAATAAACAAATATGTATAAAAGAATAAAAAACGTATGTGTATTCTGAGCTAAGACATAGTATTTTAAATTAAACAACCAGTGCTCTTACTTTACATATTTTGCGTGCTGTTTATTTTTATTTACCAAACTCACCAATTAATTTCACTTTATAGAAGTCCCCCGCTCTTGTAAACGCCGTGGTGCTTCAGTCCCTGTTGTTCTCCATTTAATTCGGCTCTGTCGTTCTTCAATGTATGAATAAGTTACAAATAATAGCAATAGAGAAAGACACACCACGTCTACTATATCCATAAGCCAATAACATTTTTTTACAAATATTATTTAACACCGCCCAGATACAGAGTTGTAATATTGACGGATTTGATTTCTAAACACAGTAAAATGACGTATTAACAATTTCGCCAGTGTATAGCGTTGAACCCTGCCCCCAGCGACCACAAAGAAGCTGGCTTGGAAGTATAACCGCTCAGATAAATGAATAAGTGCACTAAATTGCTCACTAATTGCTCAATTCAAATCCGCATTTGCTCACACTATTAATGAATTATTTTATTAGTTATTAATAATTAAAAATACAAAATATTTTTTCCCTATTATACTTAAAACCAATGAACTTTTCTAAAAACGAATAAATACCATTAATTGCTCGAGAAATGCTTAATTGAAAACCGTATTTGATCACACTATTAATTCATTATTTAATTAATAATTAAAAGTACAAAATTTTTTTCCATAACCGATCAGAATATTGATTAGGTGCACAAAATTGCTCACAGATTGCTCATTTCAAATCCGTAATTGCTCACACAATTTATCATTTATTTTAATAGTTATTAATAATTAAAAATTTTTTTCCAAAGAACTTTTTTAAAAATGAATAGTACTTCTAATTGCTCAGAAAATGCCTAACCGTAATACGCAATTGCTTAAACAATTTACTAATTATTTAATTAGTAATTAATAATTAAAAGTATAAATTTTTTTATTCCTTAACCGATTATAATATTGAATAGGTGCACAAAATTGCTCACTAATTACTCATTTCAAATCTGCAATTGCCCACAATATTTATCAATTATTTTATTAGTTATTAATAATTAAAAATACAAAATTGTTATTGCCTTAAAATCACAGAACTTTTTAAACTACTTACTCAAACTCAAACTACTTACTAAATATTTAATTAGTAATTAATAATTAAAAGTACAATTTTTTTCCTTAACCGATCATAATATGTATTAGGTGCACAAAATTGCTCACTAATTGTTCATTTCAAATCTGCAATTGCTCACAATATTTATCAATTATTTTATTAGTTACTAATAATTAAAAATACAAAATTGTTATTACCTTAAAACCAAAGAACTTTTTTAAAAATGAATAAGTATACCTAATTGCTCAGAAAACGCCTAACCATAATACGCAAGTGCTCAAACTATTTACTAATTATTTAATTAGTAAGTAATAATTAAAAGTAAAAAAATTTTTTTCCTTTACCGATCATAATACTGAATAGGTGCACAAAATTGCTCACTAATTGCTCATTTCAAATCTGCAATTGCTCACAATATTTATCAATTATTTTATTAGTTATTAATAATTAAAAATACAAACTTGTTATTGCCTTAAAACCAAAGAACTTTTTAAAAATGAATAAGTACTTCTAATTGCTCAGAAAATGCCTAACCGTAATACGCAATTGCTCAAACTATTTACTAATTATTTAATTAGTAATTAATAATTAAAAGTAAAAAAAATTTCTTAACCGAACATAATATTGAATAGGTGCACAAAATTGCTCATTTCAAATCTGCAATTGCTCACAATATTTATCAATTATTTTATAAGTTATTAATAATTAAAAATACAAATTTGTTATTGCCTTAAAACCAAAGAACTTTTTTAAAAATGAATAAGTACCACTAATTGCTCACAAAATGTCTAACCGTAATACGCAATTGCTCAAACTATTTACTAAATATTTAATTGGTAATTAATTATTAAAAGTACAATTTTTTTACTTAACCGATCATAATATTGAATAGGTGCACAAAATTGCTCACTAATTGTTCATTTCAAATCTGCAATTGCTTTCAATATTTATTGAATTATTTAATAGTAATTAATAATTAAAAATACAAAATTGTTATTGCCTTAAAACCAAAGAACTTTTTTAAAAATGAATAAGTACTCCTAATTGCTCACAAAATGTGTAACCGTAATACGCAATTGCTCGAACTATTTACTAAATATTTAATTAGTAATTAAAAATACATTTTTTTTTCTTAACCGATCATAATATTTATTAGGTGCACAAAATTGCTCACTAATTGCTCATTTCAAATCTGCAATTGCTAACAATATTTATCAATTATTTTATTAGTTAATAATAATTAAAAATACAAAATTGTTATTGCCTTAAAACCAAAGAACTTGTTTAAAAATGAATAAGTATACCTAATTGCTCAAAAAATGCCTAACCGTAATACGCAAGTGCTCAAAATATTTACTAATTATTTAATTAATAATTAAAAGTAAAAAAAATTTTTCCTTAACCGATCATAATATTAAATAGGTGCACAAAATTGCTCTCCAATTGCTCATTTCAAATCTGCAATTGCTCACAATATTTATCAATTATTTTATTAGTTATTAATAATTAAAAATACAAAATTGTTATTGCCTTAAAACCAAAGAACTTTTTTAAAAATGAATAAGTACTCCTAATTGCTCAGAAAATGCCTAACCGTAATACGCAATTGCTCAAACTATTTACTAAATATTTAATTAGTAATTAATAATTAAAAGTACAATTTTTTTTCCTTAACCGATCATAATATTTATTAGGTGCAAAAAATTGCTCACTAATTGCTCATTTCAAATCTGCAAGTGCTCACAATATATATTAATTATTTTATTAGTTATTAATAATTAAATATACAAAATTGTTATTGCCTTAAAACCAAAGAACTTTTTTAAAAATGAATAAGTATACCTAATTGCTCAGAAAACGCCTAACCGTAATACGCAATTGCTCAAACTATTTACTAATTATTTAATTAGTAATTAATAATTAAAATTAAAAAAAATTTCCTTAACCGATCATAATATTGAATAGGTGCACAAAATTGCTCACTAATTGCTCATTTCAAATCTGCAATTGCTCACAATATTTATCAATTATTTTATTAGTTATTAATAATTAAAAATACAAAATTGTTATTGCCTTAAAACCAAAGAATTTTTTTAAAAATGAATAAGTATACCTAATTGCTCAGAAAATGCCTAACCGTAATACGCAATTGCTCAAACTATTTAATAATTATTTAATTAGTAATTAATAATTAAAAGTAAAAAAATTTTTCCTTAACCGATCATAATATTGATTAGGTGCACAAAATTGCTTACTAATTGCTCATTTCAAATCTGCAAGTGCTCACAATATGTATTAATTATTTTATTAGTTATTAATAATTAAATATACAAAATTGTTATTGCCTTAAAACCAAAGATTTTTTTAAAAATGAATAAGTATACCTAATTGCTCAGAAAATGCCTAAACGTAATACGCAATTGCTCAAACTATTTACTAATTATTTAATTAGTAATTAATAATTAAAAGTAAAAAAATTTTTCCTTAACCGATCATAATATTTAATAGGTGCACAAAATTGCTTACTAATTGCTCATTTCAAATCTGCAAGTGCTCACAATATGTATTAATTATTTTATTAGTTATTAATAATTAAATATACAAAATTGTTATTGCCTTAAAACCAAAGAACTTTTTTTAAAAATGAATAAGTATACCTAATTGCTCAGAAAATGCCTAACCGTAATACGCAAGTGCTCAAAATATTTACTAATTATTTAATTAGTAATTAATAATTAAAAGTAAAAAAATTTTTTCCTTAACTGATCATAATACTGAATAGGTGCACAAAATTGCTCACTAATTGCTCATTTCAAATCTGCAATTGCTCACAATAGTTATCAATTATTTTATTAGTTATTAATAATTAAAAATACAAAATTGTTATTGCCTTCAAACCAAAGAACTTTTTTAAAAATGAATAAATACTCCTAATTGGTCACAAAATGCCTAACCGTAATACGCAATTGCTCAAACTATTTACTAAATATTTAATTAGTAATTAATAATTAAAAGTACAATTTTTTTTCCTTAACCGATCATAATATTTATTAGGTGCAAAAAATTGCTCACTAATTGCTCATTTTAATCTGCAATTGCTCACAATATTTATCAATTATTTTATTAGTTAATAATAATTAAAAATACAAAATTGTTATTGCCTTAAAACCAAAGAACTTTTTTAAAAATGAATAAGTAAACCTAATTGCTCAGAAAAAGCCTAACCGTAATACGCAATTGCTCAAACTATTTACTAATTATTTAATTAGTAATTAATAA